AACCAAGTTAACACATAAAATTAACCATCACAGTGGGTCTTGGTGGTTTTTATTTGATTTTGGTATTATTATTATTTTGGTTAATCCTGTTTAAGAGTTCATTCAGCTTCTTGAATATATAGTTTTATTTCTTTGGCCAAATTTGGGAAATTTTCAGCTAGTATTTCTTTGAATATATTTTTCAGCTCTGTCCACTTTCTCCTCTTTTTCCAGGACTCTGATGACATGAATTTTAGATCTTTTGTTATAATCCCACAGGTCCCTAAATCCTTGCTCATTTGTTTTTAGTCTATTTTCTCTCTATTGTTCAAACTGGGTGACTTCTATTCTCTATTTTCAAGTTCATTGATTATTTCCCATTTCTCCATTATGACACTGAGCCCATATGCTAAATTTTCTTTTTGTATTGTATTTTTAAGTTCTAAAATTTTCATTTGGTTCTTTCTTTATATAATCTATTTCTTTGCTAAGACTTTCTATTCTCTTGCTGGGACTCTTTTTCATTTGCTTCAAAGCATGTTCATAATTGCTTATTAAAGCATTTTTATGAGGGACACTTTAAAATCCTTGTCACATAATTCTAACATTGGTGTCAGCTCAGTGTTAGCTTCTGTTCCTTATTTTTTTTCACTCAAGATGAGATTTTCCTGGTTCTTTGTATGAGAACTATTTTCAATTGAAATTTGGATATTTTCAATCTTGCTTTAGGCAGACTTCCTCTGATAAGACACTACTCCAAGAGGGGAACAGCCAGGTACTAAGTCCAGGTTCCTGATTCATTCTCCACTATACTCAGGGCAGGGGGAAGAAGAATCTCCTCATTATTGCTGGACATGGTTGGGAGTTCAGCTTCACACAAAGCTTTCAATGATGTCACTCTGGCTGAGAGAAGCAAGGGTGCCACCTTATTGTTCCCCAAATAACCTTCACTGACACTTCAGAGGGCTGACCTTATTACCACTGAGCAATAATGAAAGCCCTGACTTTCCATTAAACATTGTTGATACCTTGATAGCAGAGGAAGTGTCAGGGTGGGGTGGAAGTCTAGACTTCCTACATAGCCTACCCTGACACTTAGGGAGGAGCAGATTTACTGCCCAGTGGGGCTGAAAGTCAACGATTCCCAGTCAGCCTTCTTTGAAACCTCCCAATGGAGAAGAGGAAAGCTATCTCACTATAGCCTGGGGAGGTTTCGTGAAAGTCTACAATCCTTACCAAGCCTTTGTTGGCAGGGCTGGAGGGTGGGGCCACATTTAGTTGTATGGTATTTGGTGGGAGTGGAATGGTTATTATCTAAGAGTTTACTGTCTTGCTACCCGGAGGCTTTCCTGGTCTTTTGGACAGAGACAGTAGCCTTTTCTTGAGATTTGCTATCTGTGCCCATTTGGTATTTCTGGCTTGCTCACTTCTCCAGCACCTAATCTGGGCAAATGAGGGAAAAAAGAAAATCCAGGGAACCCAGTGTCATGTAGTTACCTGGATCCCAGAGTCCCTAGGCAGTCTGTCTTCTTCTGTCTTTCAGGATTTTGTCTGTTTTATACATAATGTCCAAGGATTTTTTTAGCTGTATAGTAGTAGGAAAAACAGGGGGGAAAAGTCTACTTCACATTTCTGAAAGGAAAGGTTAATGTAAAAGTAATGCATCTTCCTCTACATTAATTTTTAGGCTTTTATCATTTTTGTTTTACTTCATTTGTATTTTTCACTATCTTTCCTAATGATTTTTTTTTTTCAAATTCTTCAACAATGTCTCAACTCAACTTGGAGGGAGAAAAATGACTTATCACATGTAGTCCAGGATAACCAAGCAGAAGAATATAAGATCCCTAAAAGCCAGGGATGGTAGTAAAAAGGTACAGATTTCTCTAGTCCAGCTGCATATTTGAGTAAATACCTGCATAGCAAGGAAAGGTTAAAGTCAAAGCATCAAGGGAAGCTATGGTTTTCGGTGACTATATACTACCTATATATGGTCTGTGCATGTGCATGGGTGGGTGTGTAATATATATTCCATTGGACCAAAGATCTGTCTATCTTCTTCAGTGCTGTATCCACAACAGTCCCTGGCATAAAGAAGGAAGTCAGTGTTTCTTGAATTAAAGAAAGAATAAATCAAAGAGAATGTTCATACAACTTCTCTTAGTAATAGTAACTAGAAGTTGTATTTTCATTTGTTTTTGAGTTATCTAATGATCAATGAATCATCCATCAAAATGTTTATATACTTTAACAAAATGAAGCTTTAAAAGGTATCAACAGAAAGTAAGTTACTGTCTAAAAAAGAGACACATAATACAATAATTATCACATGACCTTCTCATGCTTGAATTTCAAATGGAAAAAAAATATATTGTTTCTTTTCCTGTTCCATAATGGTCACAAATCAACACTTATACTATAAAGACATCTAACCTATGAGAAAAACATTGCCTATTTTTCCTATCTGAATTACTTTATTTCTTCCTATATTACTTTGAAGTTGATTCTCCATATGTTTTCAGAACACATTCGTTGTAAAATGTTATATGATAATTAAAGTATCAGATCTTATTCCTTCTCACAGTACAATAACATCATTGTACAAAATATGAAGCTCATCAATAAATCAATATGGAAAGCTATATGAAATGTATTTACACCAAAGTTCCCTGCTATAAAAGTTTATCTAAGTTTATATATAAACTGACAATAAGTATATGACAAATTAAATATAACTTCGTAGGCTACTTGACTTGATTCCTAATCCTCTTAAGCAAATCATAATACCTAATGCTTGAAACTTTTAAATCCTCTCCAAATGGACATCAAATAATGATACTAGACAAAGAAGAGGTGAAATGAGTAGCTCTCAACCAAGTTTCTCCAAATTACAATTTGTAAAATGTATTTGCAAAATTCTCACTTATGCTTTTAAACACATTAACTGTCAGTATTGAAAGCAATACACAATAAACATGTTTTCAGCAAATGAAATATGTGGAGCTAGAATCAAAAAAGGATTTAAAATATCAAACATTGAGCTGTTCAGAAAAATACAAGTTCAAACACAATGTAAATGCTTTTAAAACATTTAATTTATAAGGCATAAATAAAAATAAGTAAAATACAAATTTACCGAAGAATATATCACTTAATGCACCAGGAGAATTATATAAATTCCAGCTTTTTAATTCTTCCCACCCTTAGCCTAGGGGAAAAAAAGATGACAGTTCAAAATAGATCCTATACTTTTACCCAATTCAGTAACTGTAAAGCTGGTTTATATTAGTAGAGCTAAAAATTCACAATATTATAAAAAGAGCCAATAAACACAGCTGCAAAAACTTGATATTTTTTCAATGACCATCTCGACAATGGCACAGGTTTCTATTTTGGGTGTGGTCACAAAAATGACCTTACATGTTCCAACACGTATCTACTAGACTATTTACCTTGGGTTTAAAAAAAAATAAAGAAATACTTTTTGTTAAATTAATTCTGGATCCACTTCTTTTTCTACTTTTATCCAAATGACTTGTCACAAAAAGCTTTTTGACATTAAATTATTAAGCTAACTAAAATGACATTAATTTCTACCAAGTCGAAGGATGACGTTTAATCAACAATAAGAAATTTTTGTATTCTACATGTGGTAGAAGGATTTAAAAAAAAAAAAAATTTACCGTAGTAATGAACAACCAAAAACAAACTAAATGCTTAACTATACAGGTACCGTTAAACCAATTATGGTGTGTGTGTGTGTGTATGTATGTATATATGTATGTACACACACATACATATATATACTGTGGAATACTACAGAACAAAAAATAAGTTCATACACACTGATCCTAAAATACAAGTCGGGGCGCCTGGGTGGCTCAGTCGTTAAGCGTCTGCCTTCGGCTCAGGTCATGATCCCGGGGTCCTGAGATCGAGCCCCATATCGGGCTCCCTGCTCAGCGGGAAGCCTGTTTCTCCCCCTCCCACTCCCCTGCTTGTGTTCCCTCTCTTGCTATGTCTCTATCTGTCAAATAAATAAAATCTTAAATAAATAAATAAAATACAAGTCATATTGAATAAATACAGAAAGAAAAGAATAGATTGAGTGGAATAACATTTTCTGTAAATACAAATCAAAAAATTATACAATATGGTATTAGCATATATACGTACGCAAATATGGAGAAAATCCTATAGAAGGGCTCACATCAAACTGCTAATGGTTACTTCTGGGGAGAACTGTTTGAATTTAATTTCAACAAGAATGTATTCCTCTATTATTTGTGGGGGAAAAATGATCTAACACGAAATTCAGGGGGGAAAAGGACTTTTTTTTTGAGCATGAAAATAAAATCTTTATCTTCAGTTATTACCCACCAATAAGGGAAAGTTAGGTTCACAGTATTGGCTCTCAACACAAAGTGAACTAGAAAGCAAAATTACATCCATCAGATACAACTAACAGACCAACTTTTTAAAATTAAGGCTATCTTGAAAGCTTGCAACATACCAGTCCTCAGTTTGCTTTAAATGATTAAGCTTATGCAGGCATAGAATCAGAGAATAATGCTGTGTATGTCCCTCATATTGACATTTATCATGATTTCTATAACAATATTCATAACAAATTTTTTTTCTTAACCTTACCCTTTACCCACAATATTTTTCAGATGCGTATATCATGCCTTTTTTTTTCCTAAAAGAGGTAGAACCACAGTAGAGATAAAACCTAATCTAGCAATTAATTCTATAGAATTTTATTCTTGAACTTCTTCAGCTGCAGATTCTGTATTATTAAACATTTTACAACTTCTCCAAAGCAGAGCAACATCTAGCATTACCTTTGTAATCTACTAAGTATGTTTTCAACACTTATCAGTCAATTGAAAGGAATTCTATACTAAAATAAGACTACTGTCATTCTATAATTTGCATATGTTTGCATATGCCAATGTGTGTAAACTTTTTTCTAAAGTATGCCACAGTTTAATAGAGAAAGCAGACTCCCAAACCTCTACCTTATATTCATCCACAATAATGCTGAGAGCTTCATGACCAGCTTTCCTCATGTCTTCCAATTCTTGTTTATGTTTTTCCTGAAAAACAAAAACAAAAAACTTAAACCATGGTTTGTTCTTTTGTTTACAAAATAAAACCACTGACTCTTGTATCCATGAATGATTGAGTGGTTTGTGGAACACTAATGCTGCAGCTAAAAACAATGAGAAAAAATAAAGTTCTGTTTAAAAGCATTAGGGAGGACTGAAGCAATGAAAAAAGACAGGAAAACAATAACTGCGAGGAAAACCATACTGAGAGGTGAGATAACACAAAACAATGGTGTTACCTCTTGGGGCATATGGCAATTCTGCACCTGGATCAAGAGCCAGGAGGGACTGTGTTACTTCAGTAAGCTTGGGCCTCTGTATATTTTTTATTACTTTTCCAGTAATATACGCATACCAACAGTTTAATATCCTAACAAAGTTGGAGAACTGCTGGATTAAGGTGACCAAACCCTCATTCTATCTTCCTAGCAAAGGAATGGATGAACTCTCTTTGGAGAATGTTAACATCCTACAGAGCCTTTCTAATTTTCAAATACTCTGTACAGGTTTCAATACAAAAGTATCAGAGCTGACAACACATGAGACCAAAAACACAGAAAACAGAAAACACAAAAGAAATAGGCCCATGGATGATTTAGATATTAGTTATCAAAGAGTTTAAAATATGTTATGATTCAGGGGCACAATCGGTTAAAGCATCTGACTTTTGGTTTCAGCTCAGGTTGTGATCTCAGTGTCATGAGATGAAGCCCCAGGTTGGGCTCCTCACTCAGTGTCGTGTCACTTTGGATTCTCTCTCCCTTTTCCTCTCCCTCTGCCCCTCCTGCTCATGCTCTCTCTCTTTCTAAAATAAGTAAATAAATCTTAAAAAAAAATACAAAGTAGAGGAAAAATGAAGAAAATGGATAGGATACAGATTTTCATCAGAGAACTGGAATTCATGAGATAGAAATTTTACAGCTGAGAAATATGCACTATTAATAACTCAACAGATGAGGTAAACAGTAGATGAAGCGGGAAGCAGAATTAGAGAACCAAAAGATAGTGGGGGGGGTGGGAGGGGAAGAGATTAGAGTGAAAAGAGGAATAAAACTATGGAAAATACAAAAAACAAATATAGAATGACATGGGACAGAGTAAAAAGATTAAATAGACATGTAACAAAAGAATCTTTAAAAAATAATCCAAAATAAGACAAAAATGAAATGTAGTAAGATGATAAAAATAAAATAATTGAGAAAAATGAAAAATGCAAATTTACATCATACATGAAGTAGGATATTACATTAACCTACAGCTATTTCTAAAAAAAAAACCAAAACATTAAGATATAAATACACCCAAAAATGAAATTTTAGATAAAATAAAAAACTCCTAAGAAAAAGCACAACTTATCAAAATTTTAAAAAGATGAAATAAAAAATCTTCATAGTCCTATTTGTGTAAGAAAAATTGAATTTATTATTAAAAAAAACAACAACAACCTCTGACCAAGGAATTTCAAGGCCTTGATGACTTAACAGGTGATTTTAATAAACATTTAAGACAGAAATAAGAGAAATCTTACACAAACTCTTCCAGAGAATAGGAAATGAGGGAGTACTTCCCTACATATTTTATAAGGACAGCATATCCCTTATACTTAACTCTGCAAAGATATTTAAAAGCAGAAAAAATTATGAACCACTCTTTTGTAAGTATAGAAACAAATTCTAAAAAAAGTATTAGCTAATTGAGTCTAGCAATATATAAATAGAATAACCCCTCAATCAAGTGGGGATTTATTTCAGGAATATCAGCCTGGGAGAAGTGATATACACCATTTCAAGCTTGAATCACCAAAAACCTTGCACACAATCTTCCACACACCTCTTTTCTTCCCCTACCTGCTTGCTGGATGCCAATGCCCAAGGTGACAACAAAAGCCAGATTCTGAGGAGGGCACAGCCTCTGCCAGCTTGAAATCCTGAGTGACTGCAAGGAATGACTGCATCCTCACCCCAATGGACTTTGAGAGAAAATTAAACTTCAACTATATTTAGGATAAAAGATAACGCCAATAATTTTTGTCCATTTACTGCTTCCACTTGCTCATTCATCATCTCCCCTCATTTATTATACTTTACTGACTTAACAGGTTCTATTTTATTATTAACATCTAAATTCCCCTTCTGGTATATCCCTTTATATACCTTGGTGTGGCTAAATCCCTATTTCCCAAAATTGCCTCAGTATAAAAAAATCATCAAGGGTACCTGTTTACAAATATGGATTTTTGTTGGTATAATTATGGTTTACGGCAACAATCTTTCTGAAGCTACTTTTCCATTTCTATGAGAGTTGTTTCAGTAAAAACTAAATTACATAACAGTCCAATTACCTGGTTAAGCAAGTTATGTACTATATTACAGTAAAAACAAGGAAACAAATAAGGGCATCACTATCAACTCATCACTATGGATCTCCCATTCACATCAGGTTATCTCACAAAAAAACTTGTGACTGTTTCATATAAGGACCTAGGGAGGGCAAAAAGCATCAATCCATGTGCTAAGGATTAACATAATTTTTCTCTTACTTTTCAAGATTAAAAAATATGTAAATAGATATTCTGACATCTTTCCATATCATAGTGGATCATCTCAGGTGGTTCTTGGGATGCATACGTTTTACCTTCAGGCCAGCAATATGTAAGAAGCTCATATAAAATAGGCAAATATGGTCAAACTATGGACATTAACAACACACATTAACATATTAAACCTCAGACAAACCCAGAAGGAAATATGTTGAACTTTACTAAAACCAGCATTTTCCAAACTTAACTAATCAAATACTAATTTACGTTTTTTCTCTTTTGACAATATCTATTATTAACTAATCTGTTCAGTTTAGAATTGAGGAAACTTAGAACCAAAAAGGTCAAAAAGCTAGTTAGAATTAGTCTGAGCAGAGCATATTAACCTAGATCCGTTAAGTAAAACTGAGAATGGATTCTTTCACCTAATTAATTACAAATTAGAGATGAATATAAACCATTTCAATGATCAACTTTGATAATTCAGTAACTATAGTCCTGAATAAGGACACAAATCATCAAAAAAGTATTGATGTGCTATTTAAAAAGCATAGAGTACAATGTACAAAGCAATTCACAGAAAAGGTATTTTCTTAGAGACATTTCATAAATAATCAAAATGTTCTTTGACATATTTTAACTGACAATGAACATTTTATTAATGGCTGTATCTTCTAGAAAGGAATATTAATTCAGTGCTTTGCATAGTGTCTGAGAACATATCAGCTATCAACATGCTGGATTATGCTGAAATTCTCATTACTGACATAATGGCTTTCTATAATCATTTTAGATATCAGAACTAAAATTTTGACTGTTATATTTAATTTTTAAAAATGATAGAGATATTCAGTAATATTCATCATAATTCAAGGTAGAAAATATAGACTTTCCAAGTACCATGAAATTTATACATACCAATCACCTAAAATTCTCCCAGATGCCATTATTTTATACCAAATTTTCCCAGTAAGCATTATATTTAATTTACACTATTACTATGTGCCAGACTGCTAGGCTCTGGGGATAAAAAGATGATTAAAATATAACAGTTATCCTCTGTCTGGTAACATAAAAGATTGAGTAACCAGTGTCCAAAGCCAGATAAAGACAATATAAGAAAAGTACATAGCAATGAGCCCTATAAATATAGATGTAACACTCTTCAATAAAATAACAGTAAACAGAATCTAAGAGCATTTTAAAAGGATTATGCACTAAGGACCAAGTGGAATTTATCTCAAGGTGGTTCAACATACAACAGCAATCCATTTAATACACCATTTTAAAATGAAAAAGGAAAAGAATAAACCCACATGACGCAGAGAAACAACGACAAGATCAAACATACTTTCCTGATAAAAATACTCAACAAACTAAAAACAGAAAGTAACATCTTCAGCCTGATAAGGTGCATCTGTGCTAACATCATAATTTTTGCGAGACTAAAACTTTAACATCAGAAACAAGACAAGGATGTACACTCCAGACACTTCTATTTAACACTGTACTGAAGGCCTAGCAAAGGCATTAGGCAAGAAAAATAAACCAAAGGCAAACTAAGAAATTACTAGATTATAAATGAAGTGAAACTATCCCTATTTGCAGAAGATGTGATTTTATATATACTGGAAACTACAGAATTATTAGATCCAATAAGCAATACATTATTAGACCTAATAAACAAGTTCAGCAAAGTTGTAAGATACAAGGTCAACACACAAAAATCATGTGTATTTCTACATACTTGCAATGAACAATCCAAACATGAAATCAAGAAAAAAATTCCACTTAAAATAGCATGAAAAAAACTACTTAGGAATAAATTTTACCAGAGAAATATAAAACTTTTACACTAAAAACTGTAAAATATTATAGAATCTTAATAAATGGAAAGATATCCTGTGTTAATGGAATGGAAGACTTAATATGACTAATCCCCAAATTTATCTATAGATTCAGTATACTCTGTATCGAGATTTTAGTGGCTTTATTTTGCAGAAACAGACAAGCTGATCCTAAAATTCACATAGAATTGCAAGGGATGGGCTGCCTGGGTGGCTCAGTTGGTTAAGCAACCGACTCTTGACCTCAGCTTAGGTCTTGACCTCAGGGTCCTGAGTTCCAGTTCAAGCCCCACATTGGGCTCCATGCCCAGCCCGTATTTTATGGGGAAAAAAAAGGTAAGAATTGCAAGGGATTATGAATAGCTAAAACAATTTTGCAAAAGATGATCAAAGTTGCAAGATTGGTATTTTCTAATTTCAAAACTTAGCACAAAGGTGCAGTAACCAAACATTGTGGTACTGGCATAAGAGATTGAGTTCAATGGAAAATAGAAATGAGTTCCAAAATAAGCCTATCTGTCCATAATCAACTGATTTTTGACAAAGTGACAAGACAATTCAATAGCAAAGAAATAATCTTATCAACAAATGATGGTGGGACA